TCAGCCCCGCCATATGCACCTGTCAGGGGTGGAATGTAGAGGAGTAATCATGACCTTTCTCACTTGTACGATTGCACAGACCTTTCTCACTCTCACTTTCCCTTTTGGCACTCACAAATAAGCATGGCCTTATTTGTGATTACCCATCTCATCCTCATCCTCAGGGTTCCTTCCCTTATGGTCCCAGCCTGGCTGACCTCTGACCACCACCACCCCAAGGATAAGCCCCCACATCTGTTCACAGTCCCCACTGCCCTGAGGGTGAGTCTTCCCTTCCCAGCTGGGGTGGCAACTTCCCCAAACAGGGTCCAGGGCTCCTCAACCATTAGCCAGACCCGGAAACCTTTGGGTTAGGCCCCTATCCCCATATCCTCTCTCCCTGGGAGTGCAGGGCCCTGAGGGCAGAGCCTGGCCCTTCTCCTCTTTCTCTGCTCAGTTTTTTGGGAGGTCATCAGCTTGCAGGGGGGAGCTTTGGAGAGAGGGACAGAAGAGCGCCCATCCTCATGGAGAAGGGGAGCAAGGGCAGCTCTCATGGGCAGGGTTGGAGAGTAGTGCACAGCGATGGCCCTTAGCATCTGGTCCGAGCACACTGCTCCAGGGGAGTGTTCCCAAGCTTTGGCACAGCAAGAAGCTATTACCCACACCTTCTCCTGCCTGCATCATTTTCCAGTCCCTCGGTTTCTTACCGAGTTTCCCAGGATTGCCTCCCAGGTGGGGCTTGAAGTTCCCAGAAAAGGGGGTCTCACAAGTTATCTGCTTACTGGATGACAGGATGTTTTAAAGGCCTCCCTTGCTCTTTCTTGGCAGGGGGTCATTGTGGGGGGGTTGTCTGTGGGCTGTGATGACCAAGACAGTAGCCATGTTTAAACACGTCACCTCAAACTACTTTGCTGGAAGGATCCAACCAAGGCTTCAGGGAACAGGAGGAGGAGCTGGGTCAGGACAGAGGGACAGAAAGCGGACAGGCCCTGCTGGTGTGATGGAGCTGGTGGCCTCAGTTGTGGCTGCCAGCAAGACCCAGCCCACCCCTAAGTGACTTAGATCTTCCATAGATAGCCAGGATTTGTCCCTCAGTTCCAGATAAAACTATCTCGTTTATTTTTCCTATCAGTGGCTAATGTGGCTCAGAATTTGACATTATGTATTTTAACCTACAAGACCCACACTGTCTCACACAATAGCCACTAGTCAGATATGGCTGTCGAGGGCTTGAAATGTGGATAGTCACAATAAGATAATGCTGTGTGGGTAAAAAACCCACTAATTCTGAAAATTTCATTCAAAAGGAAACAGACTATCTCGTCAGCATTTTTATATTGGTCGTGCGTAAAAATGATAAGATTTTGGATATATGGGGTAGATAAAATATTAAAATTAATTGCACCTTAAAAAAAACTTTTTAATGGTAGAAAATCTGAAACTACATAGACTTGCATTTGTGGCTCCAAGTTCTATTTCTATTAGACATCACTCAACTAGAATCTTTTTTTATTGGTCTCCTACATCAGTCTTGTCACATGAGTTTCTTAGTGAAATATTGAAAATTAAATGCCAAGATTGCAGGAAGCTGCGCATTGCACGATCCTATGAATCTGGTATCTTTATGATATAATTGATCTGTAGCAAACCTGTCAGCCAGGGTGTCCCGATGTGACCCACAAACTTGTGATGCCTGTGACTTCGTGGGGATTTTGGCGCCCAGGTCATGATCACTGGCTTACGTGGAACTCTGTTGTCTGTGTCGCTCGGCCATTTCTCCCATTGCCCAGGCAGCAACCTACACGTGGGACTCCACTTCTTACGTTGTCAGCCTCTAACCCCAACCCCACAGGGGTGAAGCTCACAATGTATAGAGTGCCCATAAGCTGACAGCAGGGTTGAAGAAGCTCAGAAGGGGGCTTGGGTGCTGGCCCCAAGGGGAGACCTGGCCCCATGGGTACCAGCCCCAAGCCCAGAAGTGAATGTGAGAAGATGTGGACCTTGGAAGGTTCTGGCAGAAGCAGACACTAAACCATTTCCTAGAGCTGCTGGCCACAACAGCCCAAGACTCGTAGGGCTTTCTAGGGAAGATGTATCTCACCCAAGATAAATTTTTAAGTAAAAATTACTGAGCACAGGACAAAACAAACTGGTGTGAGACAGAAGCAATAAACCCAAGGATTTACCATCGGTGTGCCATCCAGCTGGGGTAGGGCTCTCTGAAAAGGGACTGACCTGTGTTTAAGTTGTTCAAAGAGATGAAGCAACCTAACTCCTAAAACACTCACTGGGAAAATGACACCATAAATCCTTGAAATGAATGATGTCGCAAGTGAAGTTGAAAAACACAATAGAGAAGTGAAATTAGATACAACTGAAGAAAGTGAATTGTTGCATATCCTCTGTGGGTTTTCCTGCTTGTTAAATAGCACCCCTCATCTCTACTGATACTTTTGGCCATCAATTCTTATTTGCCTGAAATTACATTTATGCCAATCTTAAAAGCTTCATTGAATAACATGCAGAGAAGTGCATAAATCAGTTAATGTTCCATTTTATGAGTTATCACAAGCGCATGGTATCCATCAACCACATGGAGAAGATTAATAACACCTCAAGGTTCCCTCCTGACACCTCCGTTCACCCCCTTCCCTTCCTCCAAGGAAACTACTCGACTTCCGACAACAGAGGTTGAAATATAGCTAGAGTCTTAACACTTTTTCTTTTTTTTTCTTCTCACTGTGCCTCCACATGGTGGAAGGGACAAGTTAGCCCTCAGCGGCCTCTTTTAGAAGGGCATGAACCTCATTCATTTGTGCTCCACTCTCACGACCCAGGAGAAGGGTTTTGAATGGTAGAAGGAGCCACAGTTCAAATTCCTGCGTCTGGCTTCTGAGATTCATCTGGTGCCCTGTAAAAACTTTGTTTATAGGCTGTAGAGAATTCCAGTATCTCGAATTGACCACAATGTATCCATCCACTCTAGTCTTGACAAACATTCTGGGCATTTCCAAAAGTTAGACATGTACTGTGATGAAGAATGTTTCTGCTGTGGTCTGAATGTTTGTGTGGCCCCAGAAAAGTATGTTGAAAACTTAATGCCCAAGTGATGGTACTAGGAGGTGGGGCCTCTGGGAGGTGACTGGGTCGTGAGAGTGGAGCACAAATGAGTGAGATTCATGCCCTTCTAAAAGAGGTCGCTGAGGGCTAACTTGTCCCTTCCACCATGTGGAAGCGCAGTGAGAAGACAGCTCTGTGCAATCTGGAGAGGGCTTCTCCCCAGATACTGAGTCTGCTGGTGTCTAGCCCCTGGAACTGTGAGAATAAATTTCTGTTATTTGTAAGACACCTGCTCTATGGCATGCTGTTATAGAGGTCCAAATGGACACCGACAGCTTCTGTGAACTTTCTCGTAACTACACCCTAGAGCACAGAAACCCATTTCTCTAGGCTCTATTTGGGAGTGAGATTGCTGGGTTGTAGGATATAAAACACTTCAACTCTGACCTGTCGAGCCATTCATCATCCAAAGTAGTTGCTTCAATGTACAATTTTTAAAGGCGAGGTAGACAATGTCCTGTGTCACCTCTTTGATAATACTTGACATTTTCAGACTTGAAGTTTTACCCAATCTGTGGCTGTGTAATGGTATCTCTTTGCTTTAAGTTTACATTTTTCTCATTCTTAAAGAGATTGAGTGCCTCTTGATAAACTTATTGGCCACTTGGAGTCCTTGTTTTATGAAATACCTGGTCAAGTCTTTTGCCCAATTTTGTGTTAGGCTGTGTGTTCATCATATAGGTTTGCAGGAGGACTTTATGTGTTCCAGATGAGTCTGTTGTCAGGTATATGTGTTGCAAATATCTTCTCCCACTTTGGTTTGCCATTTCACTCAAAATATTTTTACAGTTCCCTTTTTTCAAGAAATACCTAATTTTGTATTTTCAAGATTTTTCAAGAAGTACCTAATTTTGCCATGTTGGAAAGATTTTCCCAGCTGTCCTCAGCACCTTCATAAATCAAGTGACCATATATGTGGGTCTGAGTCTGGATTCTCTTTTCATTAGCCTTTTTGTCATTCCTGTGTCAACACCATTTTTTTCTTGGGTGCTGTGGTGTATTAAAGTCTTGATATCCAGGACATCCTATATTGTTTGTTGTTAAGAGGGTCTAGGTTTTTCTCTGCCCTCTGCAGTGCCATATGGATCCTGGAGGCAACTCATTAAGTTGCAGAACAAAAAATGAAAAACACCTGTTGGAGTTTGGACTGGGATTGCGGGGAATCTATAGAATAATTTATAATACTGAGTATTCCAATCCAAGAACATCCTAGATCATCTCTCCACTTATTTAGGCCTTCTTTAAAGCTCTTCAGCAAAGTTTGATAGTTTTATGGTTTTCTTTCTGGGGCCCTGTATGCTTTTTATTTTTCCTTGTGTACTTAATTTTTTGAAGCTATCGTAAATACTACCTTTGGTTTTTGTTTTTAATTTCATTTTCTATTAGTTGCTGGTAGATGGCCATGCCATTGACTTTTGTATATGAATTTTATATCCATAGTCTTACTAAAGAAATTATCTCTTCATTTCCAATACTTAGGTTTTATATTTCCTTTTCTCCCCTTACTACACTCTCACTGGTTCCTCCATTATAAAATGGAACAGAAGTGGTGTGAGCAGGCATCTTTGTCTTACTCCTGATTTCTGGGAAGACATTCAACAAACATTTTAACACTTAGTATGATGTTTGCTGTCAATTTATTGTAGATAGCCTTAATCAGATTAAAGAAGTGCTTTACAATTTTTCTTTTCCTAGAAGTTGTTTTTTTTTTTTTTTTTTCTCCTCCTCTGGATCTTAAGTTCTACCAAATATTGCCTTTTTGGAAAGACGCCCCTCCATCCTGGGAGCTATTCAGAGTAGGTACTGGTCTGAGATACCAGCTAATTCATTCCCCAGTTTGTGGTCTGCTCCAGCCACTTGCCTAGCAGAGCTACTTCTGAGCTCTGGGGAGTGTTTTATTTCTAATTCTGGGAGACTAGGGCTGGGGTGCAGGCAAGAACCTCAGAGCTGGTGGAGCTTTGGTCCCAGAGCTGCAGGGTGCAGGCCTTCTCACTGAGCACAATTTCCACCACCAGCCTGGACTCCCATAGCTCACTACTCCTATGGGGAGTGGGGGGGGGCGATGAGGTTAGGAAGGGGGCCTGGGACCCAAGGGTGATGGTATTTGGGGGCCCGTTGACCAGTTGTGCCTCCAGCAGCCTGCTGTTTGGAGATACCCTGAAGGCCGCAGGGTCCTTGTCTGGCTCCTGCTGGCCTGTCCCGAGGGAAGGGAGCTCACAAGAGCATAGGCATCTCCATGTGCAGCCCCAGAGAGCCCCCCGCCCCACAGCTCAGGCATGCCTCTCTGGTCTAGCCCAGTGCCATGGGGCGAGGGTATCCTGGGATCACTTGGGGTCTGGGAACCGGCCACGGGCAGGCCCCCCTGGGTGGTGCCAGCCTGTACAGGACATGGGGGGCAGGTACAGCCTACCCATCAGCACAGCCCAGTAGCTCCGACAGCCACTCATTTTCATGAGGTAGACCTCCCGGACCCATCCCTGGTTCACAAAGCAGATCCCGAAGTCCACCCAGCTGGTGGAGAGCTGCAGCTCGGGCACGGCCACATAGGGGACAGAACTTGGAATGTGGGGCTTCATCCCCTCCATCCGGGCTCCGGGCCAGGGTCTCAGGGATGCTGGGCCCTGCTGACCCCAAGTCCTGACGCTTCGGAGGAGCACGCGGGCAGGAAGGGGGCTGGCACCAGCATCTAAAACCAAGGCTGGTGGGGGTCTGCGCCGATAAGGGGTCCCGAAGACGCTATCTGCTCTCCCTCCACCCCATGTCCCCTGCCCTGATCAAGCCCTGTGGTTTCTCTCCCTGGTTAGGCCGAACTCCCCTTCTGTCCCCATCCCCTGGGGGCCCAAGGCCCAGCCCTCTGCTCCTCCTGGGCTCTGGGCCATCTCACCTCTTCCCTTGGCCTTGGGCCCCACCTGTGCTCCCACCTGCCCAAGCTGCTGGGGGTCCCCTCACATCTGCCTCAGGCACTGCCATACACACCTCATCACATCAGCCTTCCCCACCCCCAACCCCCGAGTCCCAGCAGCCACCCAAGGACCAGGCTGTAGGGCCTGCCTGGTCACAAAAGGATTCTTCCTCCGGCTTCCCTAGAATCCACCCTTAGGCTATTCCTTTCTGTTTCTCGCCTGGACATTCCAGCTGGGAGGCTTCATAGGCCACATACCTCCTCTAGGAAGCCTTCCCTATTTCCCACCCTCCAGCACCTCACCTGGTTCTGTGCTGAGACAGGTAAGGAAGGATGACCCTCCTCTCTCCAGGGAAAGGCCTCTTCCGGGGCAGACCAGGCCCTCGGGGCGAGGGCTGGGGCTCCTCACTTCTGAAGACCCGGTGGGGTCTGTCCCCCTCTGACCCAGGAGAGTGGAGTCGGGCCCATTTCTGTCCTCTTGGACATGGGGCGCCCGGAACTGACCTGAGTGGTCTGGTTGGCGTGCTCCAGGAGCAGGTTCTGAGTGAACACCATCTCCTTCTCCCCGCTGGCGTGCTGCTGAATGTCCACCCCGGGCAGCATCTGGTCAGCCGGCAGCTTCTGATAGGAGAGCAGCTCCAGTGACAGCGAGAAGGACACGTTCACCTGAGCCACGTGAGCCAGCTGGTCACCCGAGGCTGCCGGAGGCAGGCGGCAGCTTCCCCTCCCCCGGGAGCTCTGGCCTCTTTCCCTCCATGGCCCCCACTGCCCAGCAAGGCCCCAGTTCGGCACCTGCCCACACCGAGCCCACAGGGCCGACCCAGACTGAGCCAGCCCTGCCTGGCCGGCAGCCCAGCGTCGCTGTCTGGGGCATTCAGTCCACAGACATGGTGTCCTGCTCTGTGCCCGGCACCTGGTAGTCCGGGGGACGGGACCCTGCCTGCCCTCAGGAGATGAGGATCTCGAGTGGTGACTACAGGCAAACCGCCCTTTACCCCTTGGCATGACCAGGGCTTCGGGCAGATCTGTCAGCCAGCTACTGCCTGTGTCTTTAATCTGAGGACAGCAAGGAGACCCTCTGATGGGTTGTAAGCAGGGGGACATCCAAATCAGCTTTGCCTTCCTCAGAGGTCACTCTGGCTGCTGTGGGGAGGTGGGCCAGGGGACACAGGAGTCAAGGGGCCGAGGTGTAACTTGATCCAACAGGATGGGGCTCGGATGTGGGACTTCCACACAGATCAGTGGATTGAGCTCAACAAATGTACCTAATATATCTGTTAAAATACAGATTCCTGGGCCATGGGGTCAAGAGCAAGTCAAAAGTACAACCAACTGTAAGACCCTTTATTACGACTTTGAAAGATTTAAGGCTGTGCCTCCTAGACCTTTTAAACCAGATCCAAGAGGGTGGAAATGGGCCCAACTCCACTCTCCCAGCTGGTTTATCTTTTTTTTTTTTAAATTAATTAATTTATTTGAAAGACAGAGATCACAAGTAGGCAGAGAGAGAGGAAGGGAAACAGGCTCCCTGCTGAGCAGAGAACCTGATGCAGGGCTTGATCCCAGGACCTTGGGATCCCAAGGCAGAGGCTTTAACCCACTGAGCTACCCAGGCACCCCATCCCAGCTGGTTTAGTAGAAGCTTCTGGGCAATGTTTATATGTGTGAGGTTCAAAACAGTAGCCACTAGCCAAATATATATAGCTAGAGTCTTAACACTTTTCAGAAAACAGGAAAGGCCAAAAACGAATGAGTTAGGTATTTCAATGTAAGAAGTTAGAAATAGGATAAACATGTCCATCAAATACACAAAGAATGAAATGATAAAGAGCAGAGAGTAATGAAATACAAAAGCAAATAAGGCTGAAAGTTTGTTATTTAAGAAAGATTAATTATGGAGACATGGAAAAACCTCTGCCAATAAGAATTCTTTAAACAGGGTGCCTGGGTGGCTCAGTGGGTTAAGCCACTGCCTTCGGCTCAGGTCATGATCTCAGGGTCCTGGGATTGAGTCCATCATCGGGCTCTCTGCTCAGAAGGGAGCCTGCTTCCCTCTTTCTGCCTGCCTCTCTGTCTACTTGTGATCTCTCTCTGTCAAATAAATAAGTAAAATCTTTAAAAAAAAAAGAATTCTTTAAACAGAGGGAGGAGAGAGAGAGAGAAGGACAAAAAAAAAAAAAACACAATATTAAGAATTAAAAGGGAAAGAAAGGGCACTGGGGTGGCTCAGTCAGTTAAGCATCTGCCTTCAGCTCAGGTCATTATCTTGAGATGCTGAGATTTCCGCATCAGGCTTCCTGCTCGGTGGGGAGTCTGCTTCTCCCTCTCCCTCTGCTGCTCTGCCTGCTTGTGCTCTCTCTGTTTCTATCTCTGTCTCAAATAAATAATAATTTTAAAAAACTTTAAAAAATTAAAAGGGAAAGAAACTCCTCAAGAGGTCAGACATGGTCCGACATTTGGATATACTGTGTGGTCCAGCAGTCCCCCAACTGGGTATATACCCAAGAGAAATGAAGCATCCACTCACACAAAAACCTGTGTGTGAGTGTCTACAGCAGCACTTTGTGTTTTTGTTTTGTTTTTTCAAGATTTTATTTATTTATTTGACAGAGAGAGGGAGCACAAGTAGGCAGAGCAGGGGCATCTGGGTGGCTCAGTGGGTTAAAGCCTCTGCCTTCAGCTCGGGTCATGATCCCAGGGTCTTGGGATCGAGCCCCGCATCAGGCTCTCTGCTCGGCAGGGAGCCTGCTTCCCCCCCACCCCTCCTCTCTCTGCCTCTCTGCCTACTTGTGATCTCTGTCTGTCAAATAAATAAATAAATAAAATCTTAAAAGAAAAAAGTAAAACAAGTAGGCAGACCAGCAGGCAGAGAGAGGGGGAAGCAGGCTCCACACTGAGCAGAGAGCCCGATGTGGGGCTCGATCCCAGGACCGTGAGATCATGACCTGAGTCGAAGGCAGAGGCTTAACCCACTGAGCCACCCAGGTGCCCCCGTTTTTTTGTTTGTTTAAGATTTTATTTATTTGACAGAGAGAGACACCATGAGAGAGGGAACACAAGCAGGGGAGCAGGCAGAGGGAGAAGCAAACTCCCCACTGAGGAAGGACCCCAATGGGGGGCTCAATCCCAGGACTCTGGGAGCATGACCTGAGCTGAAGGCAGCTGCTTAACCGACCCAGGTACCCCCATAGCCGCATTTTAATAAGAGCCTAAAAGCGGGAACAACCCAAATGTCCATTATCTGCATAAATAAAGTGTGGTATATACATGTGATAAAATATTTTTTGGCTTAAAAAAAAAAGGGATAAATACTCACCCTGCTACAACATGGACGCATTTTTGAGAACTGTATGCTAAACGAAATAAATCAGTCTTAAAAGGCCACATGTTGTGTGATTCTACGTATTTTAAATGGCTGGAACAGGCAGATCCTCAAAGACAAAATAGAATAGTGCTTGCTAGGGATAGTGCTGGGGGAAAATGGGAAAGGGTGGAGAATGGGATTTCTTTTGGCAGGCGATGAAAATGCTCTAACTGGTTGTGGCGATGAAGATGAAGGAGGGCGCTTGTGATGAGCACCGGTGCTGTATGGAGTGTGGAATCATCAAATTCTACAGTTGAAACTAGTATTAGGCTACATGTTACCTAACTGGAATTTCTTTTTCTTTTAAATGATTTTATTTATTTATGACGGAGAGAGATAGCAGGAGAGGGAACACAAGCCAGGGGGCGCTGGAGAAGGAGAAGCAGGCTCTCTGCTGAGCAGGGAGCCCAACTCGGGACTCTACCCCGGGAACCTGAGATCGTGACCTGAGCCAAGGCGCTCAGCAGCCACCCAGGCGCCCTCACCTAACTGGAGTTTAAGTAAAAACTAAGCTAAACTGGGGCGCCTGGGTGGCTCAGTGGGTTAAGCCTCTGCCTTCAGCTCAGGTCATGATCTCAGGGTCCTGGGACAGAGCCCCGCATCGAGCCCCACATCAGGCTTTCTGCTGGGCAGGGAGCCTGATTCCCCCTCCTCCTCCACCTGCCTCTCTGCCTACTTGTGATCTCTCTCTCTCTGTGTCAAATAAATAAATAAAATTTTTTTAAAAACCTAAGCTAAACTAATTGCACAACTCCGTGAAGACACTGCAAACCATGGAACTATGTACTCTAAATAGGTTAATTGGGTGGAATATAATTACATATCAAGAGGGGGGTTAGTTTAAAAAAAAAAAAAAGATTAGCAGAAGGCAGAACTGTGAAGAAGCAGAGAGCAAGGGACTCTCCTGGGCAGGAGAGCAAATTGTGCAACATTTCTGGAGGCCAGTTTGGCAATACTTGCAAACATTTAAAATGTGTATACCCTTGGACCTGAAATCCCCCTTCTGGGATTTACTCCAAGGGGATCATTACCCCAATATGAACGTCCGTGGACACAAGGATGTTCACTGCCACTTTGTTATGTTAAAAACACACTTTTTATAAAAACAACCTTTAAGTCATCACCAGGAGCCATTACAGTTCTGAGGAAGTAACTGATACAATTTAATTCCGACAAAGTAACTGATACAACTTACGGTAACGCTCTGTATTTCCTGGAATGAATGGTGTCAGAGGCATAATGTTGTGGGAGGTAAGCAGTTTACAGAACCACATGTAATACATCCGGTTATATAAAATTTAGACATATATTTATACATAGAAGAATTTTCATCAAAATGTTGAGTGATTTCCACTGGATAGAAGATTTTGAGGAAATATTTTTAAAAATTTTTTATTTGTATTTTTCTATTATGCTGGAAATTTTTTTAAAAGATTTTATTTGAGAGAGAGAAGGACCAGGGGGAAGGGGCAGAGGGAGTAGAAGAAGCAGACTCCCAGCTGAATGGGAAGGCCAATGTGGAACTTGAGCCCAGGACCCTGGTATCATGATCGGAGCCAAAGGCAGACACTTAACTGACTGAGCCACCCAGCCACCCCATAATATTGGAAATTTAAAAAATATATATGCATGATGCTTATAAGATGTTAAAGCTATTCCCAAAGAAGAGAAACATTAAAAAAATGTAAGGAAAGAAGACAAAAAGGTAAGTTCCACTTATCAAGGAATATACAGTCCAACCTTACACAAATTTCTCCAGAAGACAGTGAAAGACAAAATAGTTGTGAAATATTTATGAGGCTTGTAAAATCTTGATAACTACAAGGGAACAGCTTAGGACTATTTAGAAATGGAAGAGTGCATCTCATTCTCATTCATGAACAAAGATGTAAAATTTTAAGCAATAAATTACAAACAAAATCCAGCAAAATATAAAAAATGAAAATACATTCTGACCAGGTTGAATTTGTTCCTGAAATTCAATATTGACTTAATCTTATAAAATAGGTTAACATATTTTGGGCGCGTGAGTGGCTCAGTTGGATAAATGGCTGACTCGTTTTCAGCTCAGGTTATGACCCCGGCGTCCTGGCATCAAGCCCCCCATTGGACTCCCTGCTCAGCGGGAAGTCTGCTTCTCCCTCTCCCTCTGCCCTTCCCCCATGCTTGAGCACTGGGTCTCTTTATCTCTCAAATACATAAGCAAATAAATCCTTAGAAACATAGATTAATAGGGGCGCCTGGGTGGTTTAGTTGGTTAAGCCACTGTGTTCGGCTCAGGTCATGATCCTGGAGTCCTTGGATTGAGTCCCACATTGGACTCCCTGCTCAGTGGGGAGTCTGCTTTTCCCTCTGACTCTCTCCCCTCTCATGCTCTCTCTCTCTCTCAACTACATAAATGAATAAATAAAATCTTTTAAAAACAGATAAATATATTTGACTGCATTAATAGAATTAAAACTATCATTTACAAATCTAACATCCATTAATTTCAAAACAACTCTTAGCATAAACTCAAGAAGGTGAGAGAATTCGTTTAACCTAATGAAGGGTATCTGTGATGATGTTCGGTGTTAACCTGACTGTGCTAAGGGATGTCCAGGGAGCTGCTGAAAACATTATTTCTGGGTGTGTCTGTGAAGGGGTTTCCAGATGAGATTTAGCATGTCGAGGAGTGAAGAAGAGGGCCCTACCCACCTCCAGTCCAATGAGCCCTCTGACATAGGCGCACTGGGTTCTCAGGCCTTCAGACCGCACGGGGATTTACATCACAGCTCCTCAACCTTCCCGCCTTCCAGCCTTTAGACTTGACTGGATTACACCACCAGCTTACCGGGTTCTCCAGCTTGCAGGTGGCTGACGGCAGGGCTTCCTGGCCTCCACAGCCATAGGAGCCGAGTCCTATAAGAATTCTCTTGGGGCGCCTGGGTGGCTCAGTCTGTTGAGCGTCTGCCTCCGGCTCAGGTCATGATCCCAGGGGCTCAGGTCATGATCCCAGGGTTATAGGATCGGGCCCCACATCCAGTTCCCTGCTTGGCGGGAAGCCTGCTTCTCCCTCTCCCCCTGCTGCTCCCCCTGCTTGTGTTCTCTCTCTGTCAAATAAAATAATAAAATATTTAAAAAAAAAAACTGAATTCTCTTGTCTCTTTATGCATCCTACTGGTTCTGTTCCTCTGGAGACCCCTGGATGATACAGTGTCTCTATAACACTGTGCAACAGAGATTGTACTCAGTGGTAAAATGTTGAAAGTGTTTTCTCTGAGATCAGACACAGGAATATCTGTGTTCTCACTGCTTCTCTTCTGCAGCTACTCGACATCCAAGCCAGTGTGGCAAGACAAGTAACAGAAGGAGCATGTTGAAATGTCATCATTATAGTTGCAGATGATATGAGGGTCCCTGCAAAAAGAGTTTAAAACTCTGTGAATAAATGAGGGATGCCTGGGTGACTCAGTCGGTTAAGCATCTGCCAGGGTCCTGGGATTGAGCCCTGCATTGAGCTCCCTGCTCAGCAGAGAGCCTGCTTCTCCCTCTCCCTCTGGCTGCTGCTCCCCCATTCCCATTTATGCATGCACTCTCACTCTCTCTCTCTCTCTTTCTGACCAATAAATAAAACCTTTAAAATAATAAAAATAAAATAAAAGAATAAAGAAAAAATAAAATAAAATATAAATAAATATAAATAAAATAAAAAATAAAAATAAAGAAAGAAAGAAAAAATAAAATAAAAAGAATAAATGAAATGAAAGATACCACTAGCAGTTCTCTACGCAGATTTCCAGTTCAAATCCACACACCGTCTGTGAAGATCTTGGGAGCTTGTTAGCCAAGGAGCAAGCCTCCTTTCCAAGTCCAGGCCCAGAGTGGTACCCAGATGGGGAACCTGTCCGGTCACCAGAGGACAGCACCAAGCAGTGCCCTTATTAGGCAATTTCTGGAAGATGGTGGAGAATGAGAAGAGGACTTCAAACTTCAAGTTTCACCAAGACAGTGACATTAGGAAGGGTTACAAAACTCTGTTGAGGGGTGTTAAAAGTTCAACATTACATCAGGTTTTTGAAAAGACAGGAAAGATCTTTGATGGAGCTTCTCCAAAGCACAGGACAGCCTTGCCCCTGCCACTAAGTGGGGGTGTGGGTGTGGTGAGTGAAACTCAGCTTAGCATCTTTCTTGCCCTCATGTTTCCACTTAGGTCTCCAAGACCCGCGGACTCATCCTCCCGAATATCACCGGGTTCTGACCTGTTCTTCCTTTCTTGTTGCTGCCTCCATGTGGGCAAGCATCTAGGAAAAAATTATCAACTTGCAGGAAAACAGTGAGCAGGAGAACATTGTAGGTGACACCCCAGAGTGCATTCAACAAAATTCGCATCCTAAGAAACCCTATGGAACAAACAACCCATCTTCCACAACGAATCATCTGTGAGAAAAAAAAAAAAAAAAGATGGAAGGAGAACCCACAGACAGAGGGAGGCATAAAAGGACAATCAGCTGATCACAATGTGTGCGCATTTTGGAGTCCAGATTCAAATAAATATTTATGGCATTCATGAGACAATTGGAAATTTGAATACTGACTATACTAAGACATTCTTTAAAGTTTTCCTTTAGGTTTCATAATGGGTTTGTGGTTGTTTTTTAAAAAGGTGGTTTTTTCGGGATGCCTGAGTGACTCAGTCAGTTGTGTGTCCAACTCTTGGTTTCAGCTCAGGTCATGATCTCAAGGTTGTGGGATCGAGTCCTGTGTCTGGCTCTGCGCTCAGTGGGGAGTCTGCTTGCCCCTCTCCCTTTGCTGTTCCCTCCACTATCCCTCTCTCTGACTCTCT